TCTTGGGCTTGTATCCATCACACTTAACCATCTCCTTAGCCCATGTACACATAACTAGATTGTTAAGAATCTTCACGGTCTTAGATCTTAAATGAGTGATTAGGCCAACTGTTTTAGATAGTGGATCCCTAATATAAGGATTCTTCATAATTGGTTCATCACTTACATTCACAACCTTTACGAACTCATCTTCTCTCTTTTAATCATCCTCTAGTTCTCTTATAGCTCGATGGTCTCCATCAGGGTAGTTTGTGTCTTTCGCGCATTGTTAATCCATCTTCCCCTGTACACGTATCAATCTTCACCAGTGTCTCTTTCTTTCATCCTCACTGGTTGCTATTTTTTGCTTTTTTTTTTCTTTGGGATTTTGTGTTCATGCAGTTCGGACATTTTTGGGTTCCTAGTTGGTTTCCTTTTTTGGCGTCTATTTAGATTACAAATTTAAGTGGAAGAAGGCCGATCAATCTCTTGGTTTGGCCTTTTCGTCTTGTTCATTTCACTTTTGGATTTAAGTTACATTGGATTATTAGCATCTTATTCCTTCTTTAGTTAATCCCAACGGTCATCCTAATTTGACATCTTTTCCTTCTTCACTCTTTAAGATTGAAATTCGACCACGAATATATTGCTCTCAGAACTGATTTCTAGATATTTGAATGGGATTTCTGATGGATGGTTAGAAATCTGATTCCTTTGACAGTCAGCCAAGGGCAACATTTGGTGTTAATGGTTCTTTAGGCTTTTAATAGAGAGGTTGTTAATGTCTCAAAAATCTTTATTCTGCATTTTCTTGGTGCCTTCACTATTATTCATAGTATCTTCATTTTTTGTATTGCACATGAGTGGTATCTATATCTTAAACATCTCCTTTTGACATGTGGCAGTTGACACATAAGGTTCCATGTATTAAAACTTTACAAGTCATCTCACCACATAATAAATAGTTTTTTTTTTTTTTTGGAATAAGTGATCCCTATAATTTTCAAATCCCATTTATATTAATATCTTTCATTCGATCATCAAAACGTTTTTTTTCTGATCAAAACTTGGCTTTTTCCTCTTTTGTAAATCCTTATGTTTGATTTTTTTTTCTTTTTCTTCTTTCATGTCACTAGAGAAAAATTTGTCTTATGTCATCAGACAAATATTTATATAGAAAAATAAAAAAAAACAATTATCATCAAAATAAAATGAAAAAAATAGTATAACTTGGTTATTCCCAAGTTCGAATTTAAAGTTTTGTCTTGATACCAAAGGAAAAGTAGTTTTACTTTTAATAACTTTCAAAAATTTCACATTTAAAATCTTTTACTACCGAAATAAAACTTTTTCAATATTAGCCCAAACCTTAGCTCAATAAATGGTGGATATATCACAAGCGATAATTTTAAAATGATTAAAAAAATTGCTATCTATAGTATATTATACTAAGAGAGAAATCAGAGAGAGAAAGCAAAAAATGATTTCTAAAGTGCCACATAGGAAAAAATCCAACGTGGTATTTTCTCAAAATTTAGACCAAAAAAAATTTCAACATTTAGCTAATAGTCCTTAGAAAATATTAGTTATAGCATACGATATCACATTCATTTTAATAATTATTATAATTAATCAACATTAAATATACCCAATAACTATTGATCTCACATTCAAAAATTAAGGTAAAACATTAATGTACGGCAATCATGCAACTTAATGCATTGGAATATTTTTTTGGAGGACAAATTGATTTTCAATTCAAAAAAATAAACAATTCCTCCCAAATAAACAATTCCTCCCTAAAATAATCTCCAAAATTATTACTAAATGATTTTGTGTACAGTACTGAGCAACTAGAATTGTGTTAAAGCCCTCAAACTTTGCCCAAAATAAACCAATCACTTAATCACCATAATTTTTAAGATTTCACCATACGCAGCACCACTTAAACTATTTTTGAAAATCAATTTCCAATCTCATCCAAATACCACAACTTTTAATTGACAAACCAATTTATGATAAATATCTTCCAAATATTTGGTATATATTTTTTGGCAATATTTACTTATAAATAATTAATTTCAGAAAATTTTCAATCACGATCCACAAAATCTTCAATCAATACCTATTTTTGAATTCAAACATCAGGTAAGAGGATATTATATGGGGTATTATAAGGGAATAATTAATTAATGTAAAATTCAAAATTCAAAAACAAGTCCTTATAAAAATCCCCGACTGGACCTAAAACCTGACCATTAAGTCCTATTCTACCCTGACTATAAAAGTATACGTGTGCATCTATCTTTTAATTTCGAGGGAAAAATTTAGTTCCATATCTACCATAATCTGGTCATATTCCAAAGGTACGATTTCCGATTAGTTCTAAAGTTGTTTCCTCTGTTCTATGTGCAAATTTTCTTCTTGAATAATTGATGCGGTAGTTTTGGGTTGTTTGCGTTTGATTGCTCTATTACATGTAGGAAAAATACGATGCCAAAGTGGAGTTTCAACAAGGCGCATACATGCGGTCACTTAAATGGTTAAATCAACATTTAAGATATTATCTTTTCGAAGAAAACATGGTTTTAATGATTTAATGTTGCTTTTACTTTGTTGTTCCTAAATAGAACAGTTCATAGATGGTTGACCTCTCATTTTACCAATCAAAAAAGGACGTGGGTGAGTTTTTTTTTTTTTAAAAAAAAATCTTTTTCTTACTGATTCTGCCTTGCTCTGTGTCAAGCGGGTTTGATCCTCCATAATGTAATATTCTTACACTTTTAGCACAATAATATCTATTACTATGTGGGTTTTCTGGGACTTAGTTTTTGATTGATGTTTATTTGGTTATTATTTAATGTAATTTATATGCAGATGTGAGTTTCAAGCTGCATATGATCTATCCGCCGATTTGGCTTTTCTTGATAATATATTCATTTTTGATTAGGTAACATATATCTTTTTTATATTCTCTACTACTTTTGTTTAAATTTGATGTAGATAGAAAATACCAATGCACTAACCGAATTATGTCTTTAATTGTTTTGTTGTAGATACATTTCTATTTGGTGATTAAAAAGATCGGATATTGAGAAATGCATTCAGATTATCGAACAAAATCTGGCTATATGGCAAGATGAATACGATTGACAGAAATAAAAGCAAAAAAAAAAAAAAAACACACACACACACACAATGTCCATCATGCTTTAACATTTTCGAGAAAAAAGAAACAATGGGAACTAGCATTCACGGTGAACTAGCACTCGCAAAGGTTACTTTTCTTTTCCTCTATTGTGTTAATAGAGAAAAAGAAAAGTAAGAAATTTTTGTTTAGAATATTGAAATAAGAAAAACCCTATTTTATATGAATGATAAATTTAATATGTATATTCTTTATTAACCAGCGTAAAGTACAATTAGTATCTCAAAGTGGCCCAAAACAATTTCAAGAAACATAAATCTCGATTAGTTTGGTTAGAATTTCTGAAATGAAAGTATTTTTGAAAATTATATTATATTGGAGCCATGTCTAATGCATTTTGCAGAGACCAAATGATCATCTTTATTGAAGATAATAGAATACATGACAGGTTCTTTTTCAATTCGCGTTCTAACTTTGAAGCCGGACAAAATGACGGATGCAAGGAATTTAGTCATGCTGAGAAATCCCAGGTACCAGTTGCGTCTTGGTTGGAATTGTTTCGTTCAAATATTCAAAGTCAACAAATAATCAAAGTTAATTGGGTAGAGGATTCAATCAACTTGAAACTTTTTGAGATGATAATAAGCAGATTTTCTTTCTTTAAATGCTCACTGCATTTTTATCATTTTTCAAGAAACAATATTTACGTGATAATGTGGAAATTGTTTTGTACCCCCAAAAGAAAAAACAATGTTGAAAGTTAGATATTTTTTCTTTCCTTATTATTATTTTTTGACTAAGTTGGGCTATGTTGAAACCATATGTAACATCATCACTACATCTACGGTATCACTCAAGCTAATTTGAACTCGAAACATTTAACGACAGGTTAACTTGATACATAATACATTTTTATCTATATATTAATTTATTATAAGAGAGAAACTATAGAGAGAACTCAAGATTCATTTCTATGTTGCTGCATATGACTAAAGCTAATGTATCATTTTCTCATTTATTCTAAAATGAAAACTGTCGAGGGTAAATCCCGAAACCGGAGCCCACGGTCCGACCCAGATTGGAACCTGCAAAAAGGAAGTTAGCACTCCGAAGGTCAAGTCAGTCCTAGAGAAAAGTAATTTATTACCACACTTAGAGAGAAAAAGCGGGAGTGTGGAAAAAATTGAAAATGCAATAAATGAATCAAGGAGTATTTATAGGTCCCCAATAGGACAATACCTGTGGACCCCTTTGTCAAAAGGGGCAAAAGTGTAAATAGATATGTGTTTAATTCTTTTGGACCGGTTGGGCCCAAAAGAATTAAACAAACAGACGAGTTGGGTTTGTGAAATCAGCCCAAGTTGGTGGGCCGATTGGGCCGGTCCGAGAAGGTCGAAAATGACCACCAACAAATGCCCCTGTCCAGCCTAATGCAGTAGAGTCGGGTTGGGCTTGACACAAAGAAACCGAAAGCCCAGGCGGAAAAGCCCACTACCCAGAACCTTCCATCCTTATACTATTACGGATCCAACGGTCGGGATCTTCTACGCCCAAACAGGATGGACGCCCAGGATTTCATGGAATGAAGCGCCGCAATGATGGCACCGAACGGTAACCGATGCGACTGTTCGCATCCCTTGGGGGGTATATATATGCCCCATAGGACACAGGACTTCATTTCTTTTCCTTCATTTTCTCCCCCAGGCGTGAACACTCAAGTTTTATTTTCTCTCCTCCATTCTTTTCTATTTCGTAACCGAGGGCGTTTCTCAGCTCAGAGATCGGAATTACAGCTGGCGAGTATACGGGGGCAAATCTCAGCCGACCACAGACAAGTAAGTTTCCTTTTTTTCTTGCTCCTTCGATTTACTAGATGGCCAAGGAAGTAGTTAGGGTAGAGGACGTAGAATGTTCGTTGACCCAAGACAGGCTGAGTGAGTTGGAGAGCTATTACAGCCTTATGGCTGTAAACCCCACGTTGCCCGGAGGCCATGAGAGAGCCAACACTCCTCCTCAGGGAAAGACTACGGTTTACGAGAAGTTCTTGGAATACGGATTGCATTTTCCCCTAATGCCTATGTTTAGGAAGATTGTAGAGGCTTATGGTCGACCCCTGGCCCAATACACCCCGAATCTTATAACCATAGTCCTGGCCTTCGTGCACGTGTGCAACAAGACGGGGGTGGAACCAGACATTTTCCTGTTCAGGTGCTTCTACAAGCTCGTCCGATGCGGGAAGAGCTTTCCCGGATGGTTCAGCTTCACCAAGAATCCGCATGGACCCTCCAAGGAGTTGGTAGCAAAGAATGAGAGTTCCAAACATTGGAGGTCAGGATTCTTCTACGTGGATGCGAACTTTGTCTCCCTTTTTCCGTGGATGTCGGATGAGGGAGGGACAATCAGCTTGGATCCGTGGACCAAGAAGGATAAGAAAGACATTGAAACCCGGAGGAGGGACTTGGAGAAATTAGCCGGCTGGAAGAAGACCTATACCTATAGGCAAATTGCGTCGCTAAGCGACCGGATCAACTCTCGTAATCAAGGTATCTTACCCGAATACTAACTCCGGTTATTTTCCTGTTGATAGGTATATTTGCTAATTTGATGGGCAAACATTTGGCTTTTGATGATTCAGACGAGGAAGAGCAGTACGCCGAAGAAGGGCCACGAGAGGTCGCCCCACCTGAGACGGGGGCAGCATCCTCTGGGCAGACGACGAGGACGCCCGTCGAAAGTTCCAGGAGGGGGGACTCCTCCGGCCGACCCTCAGGTCACTTGAAGAGGAAAAGGGGAGTCTCGGAGGTCGTGGAGGTGGATCCACTGTCTTTCAGGCTCCCAGCGATCCATGAGTTATCCTCCCTCGACGACCTCCTGAAGGAAGGATATGTAGATCCGGGTCGGGGTACCGATTTATTTGAGGACGTACCCGCGGGCCACGCTCTACTAACCTTCGACCCTCCTCGGGTTGAATGCTCGGAGTTGCCCGAGACCGGAGCAGCGAGGCTGGAGGATGGCATGAGACAGGTGAGTTCTTGTATTTTTACTTCAAGGGTCCTCTCTCCGTAAATGTGTTCCCTTGCTGACCTAGGATGCCCCCATTGCAGGCCGTGCAGGCAGTCAACACGTTTGTGTCCGTGTGCATGGGTTTGGGAGAGCAGCTGGCCTCGGCTCAGAGGACGGCCACGAGTGAGGCCAACAGGGCCAGAGACGCGGAGGTCATGTTCAAGGCCTTGGAAGGGAAAAGAGCGCGGCTGGAAGAGGAGAGGAAGCGCCTGGAAGAGGAGGTTGCGAGGGCGAAGGCACAGCTCGAGGACGCGGAGCTGACCCACCGCCTTCAGATGGAAAGTTTGCTGGCCACGAGTGTCCCGAAGTCCCGACTGGACACGTACATCTTGGCAGGGGTCCAGCGGTACCTGGGGTCGTCCGAGTTCGCCCTCGGAATAAACGATGTTATGGACCCTCCTATGGAAAGGGGGGCGAGAAAGGTCGTTATGGAAATCGAGGCGGCCCAAAAGAAGAATGAGAACATCCGGCCCATCCTCGAAAAGTATGCAGACAGGGACAAGAAAGGGAAGACATCCGCGGTGCGGTTGCGGTGCAAGTCTCGGAAACACTTCCGGGATATGGATTTTTCCAGTCTCCCTATTATGCAGCAGATTTCCGAAGCCTGCGCCTCTATTTCGAAGCCCGAGGACATCCTGAACATTCCGGGCAGTCCCTCGTTCGTCTTTCAGATGCCGAGGGGGACAGAAACGCCTCCCAGCACGCCACCGGGACCGGAGGAGGAACCCGAGATAATTGCATCCGCGTCTCCACCCCAAGGGCACAACTCCGGCAGCCTAGGAGGAGGGGAAACGTCCACGGACAAGGTGAACGACGCGTAGGGTTAGGATTCCTAGCAATCATGTCTCCGGGGCTTTCCCCGTTGTGTCTGAACTTTGATTATTTAAAAATGAAACTTATGTTTGTTCTCCGTTCTCTCGTTTCGCACGTTCGGATTTATCACCGTGTCCATCTTAACGGAACTATCTTAACGGAAATTTTAAGTCTACAGTCTACATATAAGCATCTGTTCCTCAGTGCAAACTTGTTTTTGTCTTTGGGAATGCGCGTCCATACAGCTTCTTGCTAACACGCGCTTCCTTACAGGGGAAGAGCACGGCTTCAGACTTCCCCTCTCATCCTGACGGAACCTCTCAAGGGTTGCCCGCTACCCCGGGTCTCTGGGAAACTTCTGGGATCCCGTGGATTGACTTGCAGTTGCCCGACCCTCACCATGACCCTACGACCTTTCCACTTTATGCGGCCGTAGGAGGGGCTTTGGCAGATCCGAACGTCGATAGGGGTCGAGGGCGACTGTCAGGTCTCGAAGGGCAACTCGAAGAGGCTTTGCAAACCTTCCGGGCCTCGGAGTTGCACGAGGCACGTAAGGCCGTTCTCAAGGCGAAGGCTGAGAACGACTGGTTGGATAAGTTATGGCGGGATACGGAGGCCTATTGGGAAGACCACCTGAAGAATTCTATACAATTGAAGATGTTGGCTAACAATCGCCTTCGGACACTCGAAGCCAAGATACGGAAGAGGAAGAAGGACGAGGGTTTAGCCGAACCCGATCCGGAAGATTTTATCCCCCGAAACTACTTTGAGAGCATGCTGGTACACCTCCGGAAGGCTTACACCTTGGTCGCCGTGAAGTGGGATCGTTCCTCTGATAAGATCGAGGCTCTTCGGACATATGCCGGTCAGCTTCGGACAGCTTTGGAAAGCGCGATATCCTTCATCGTGGAGACGGGGAAGGAGTATGACTTCGCAGCATTGTGGCCCGAACCCTGTCCAGCTATGCGAGACGAGCCCACTTCTCCAACTCGTGAGGCCGAACGCTTGATATATGAGAACGACGCTTTGTTCTTTGAGTTGGGTCGGGGGTCTCGTTAAGAACAGGTGATTAGGCTAAGTTGTCCATGTGTTTTTTGTCAAGTGTATAGATCTGAGGGCTGTGTATATGAAATTTTTAAGAAATTTAAGCTCCCTTTTTTGACCATCGACCTCAACTACTTTATTTATTTTGTTTACTCATTTTATTATTATTATTCATGTTTTTACGGTTGTGTATATGAAATTCTTTTTGTTGCCGACGTGTTGCTATCGTTTGACGGAGGTGATATCGATAGGAGTATCTTCCCCCGGATTTCATATTTCAACCGTATTACTGTTGTTATAATGATCAGTAGGTGTTCAATTGAATCGTACCCGACGGAAGGTCGTGGGGGCCTTCCGTATTCTATAATCTGCGGACGCCGGGTGACGGCGCTTTGTTTTGGACGGCCATGCAGTTCACCCAGGGTTGTGGAGACCGCCGCGGTGCCGCAGGCCGCGGAGGCCACGCGGTGCCCTCAGCCACTGGGGTCGAGACGGCTTTGTAAATGCCCCCAAGATCGCGGAGACCGTTAAGGTTCCACAGGCCGCGGAGGCCACGTGGTGCCGTCAGCCACTAGGGTCGAGACGGCTTTGTAAATGCCCCAAGGTCGCGGAGACCGTCAAGGTTCCGCAGGCCGCGGAGGCCACGCGGTGCCGTCAGCCACTGGGGTCCAGACGGCTTTGTAAAGGCCCCCAAGGTCGCGGAGACCGTCAGGGTTCCGCAGGCCGCGGAGGCCACGCGGTGCCGTCGGCCACTGGGGTCGAGACGGCTTTGTAAATACCCCAAGGTCGCGGAGACCGTCAGGGTTCCGCAGGCCGCGGAGGCCACACGGTGCCGTCGGCCACTGGGGTCGAGACGGCTTTGTAAATGCCCCCAAGGTCGTGAAGACCGTCAAGGTTCCGCAGGCCACGGAGGCCACGCGGTGCCGTCGGCCACTGGGGTCGAGACGGCTTTGTAAATGCCCCAAGGTCGCGGAGACCGTCAGGGTTCCGCGGGTAGCGGAGGCCATGCGGTGCCGTCAGCCACTGGGGTCGAGATGGCTTTCTAAATGCCCCAAGGTCTCGGAGAACGTCAGGGTTCCGCGGGCCGCGGAGGCCACGCGGTGCCGTTGGCCACTGGGGTCGAGACGGCTCTGTAAATGACGCTGGTAGGAAAGCACGGGAGGTTTTATATAGTCACCAAAAGTGCCGGATCTTTCCTGGGCTAATATCTATTACAAAGGCATTCGGGGGTCTTTAAACATTGAACTTCTTCAGGTTCTGGTTGTTCCACCATCCGGATATGGCACGGGGCTCATCATCGCATGTGCGTAGACGATAACTTCCTGAGGGGGAAACTTCCACAACCTGGTACGGCCTCTCCCAGCTTGGTGCTAGCTTACCAGTTGGTTCGGCGCTTACCTCATTTCGTCGGAGGACAAGGTCTCCGACATCGAAGTCCCGAGCCCGAACCTTGGAATTGTAGTATTTGGCCACGATCTGCTTCTATCTGGCTTCGCGGGCCTTGGCCAGGTCTCGACGTTCATCCAAGAAATCGAGGCACAGGCGGACTTCGCCTTTGTTCATTTCTTCTGCAAAGTTGACCACCCGGGGGCTGGGGACCTCAATTTCGGCTGGAAGGACGGCCTCCATACCATAGACAAGGCTGAAAGGGGTCGCTCCTGTTGCCGTTCTCATAGTGGTGCGGATGGCCCAAAGGACATGTGCCAGCTCCTCAGGCCACAGCCCCTCGGCTTTCTTTAGTCGCTTCTTCATGCCTTGGAGGACGGCCTTGTTTATGTTCTCAGCCAACCCGTTGGCCTAAGGATGGGCCACGGACGAGAACCGTTGATCGATCCCTAGCTGTTCACACCAGGATGAGAAAATCTTCGATTCAAACTGGGTTCCGTTGTCTGAGACGAGGACTTTCGGGGTCCCGAACCGACAGACTACGTTCTTCCAGAAGAATTTGGCCACGTTCTCCTGGTGGTGGAGGCTAAAGGCTCCGCCTCGACCCATTTAGAAAATAGTCAATTGCGACGATCACAAACTTGAGCTTGCCCGGGGCCACGGGGAACGGTCCTATTATGTCCGTGCCCCACTTGTAGAAAGGCCAAGGGCTGGTAATTGGGACCATCTCATGTGGGGAGACGCAGAATGGGAGCATGCCTTTGGCATTGCGTGCACCAAAAGACAAGGTCGTAGCAATCCTTGGCCAGGGTAGGCCAGTAATACCCGGTGCGGATCAACTTTTTGGCCAGATTCCGCGAACCCGTGTGTGCCCCACAAGCGCCCTCGTGCATGCTCCGCACCAATACTTCAGCTTCCTGCGGTCCCACGCAGCATAGCAGAGGAGTCAGATACCCTCGCTCTTAGAGGATCCTGTCTCTGAGCAGATACTTAGGTGCTTTGAGCCGAATCCTCCAGGCTTCCTTCGGGTCTGGTGGCAATGTCCCAGTTCGGAGGTACTGAATGAAGGGCGTCATCCAGGAGGCTTCGTCAATTACCACGGGCAAGACTTCGTCGTCCAGAATACTTGGGTGTGTCCTGACTTCAATGTGGATTTGCTGGGTCAAGCGTATGGTGCGGGAAGAGGCCAACTTGCTTAGGGCATCAACCTTTTTATTTTGCGACCCCGGAATGTACCGAATGTGGAAGGCACGGAAGCTGCATTCCAACACCCTGACTCTTTGAAGATATTTCTGGAGGGTCGCTTCCCGGGCTTCGTACAGTTGGAGGACATGATTGACGACCACCAGAGAATCACTGCAGACCATTACCTCTTGAACTCCGAGGGCACGGGCGATTGAAAGCCCCGCGATTAGCGCTTCGTACTCGGCCTCATTGTTCGTGGTGGGAAAGTCCAGCTGAATGGCATAGACTATGTCCGATCCCTGGGGATCGAACAGAACCACCCCCGCACTCGAACCCTCCCTGGAAGCAGATCCATCTACGAACAGCGTCTAACCTTGCGATCCAGCGGGAATCGAGGGAGCGTCTTGAGGGCCTTGAGGACATTCTTCATCCGCGGCTTCCATCCCTCGGGGAACTTCGACAAGGAAATCGGCCAGGGCTTGACCCTTGATTGAAGTTCGAGGCCGAAACTGTATGTCATGCTCACCGAGTTCCACAGCCCACTTAGTCATCCATCCTGACGTGTCGGAATTTCGGAGAATCTGCTGTAGGGGCTGGTCTGTAAGAACGAGGATTGGGTGTGCCTGGAAGTATGGGCGCAGCTTTCAGGCAGCAGTCACAAGGCAGAATATCAACTTCTCCGCTGAAGTGTATCGGGACACGGCAGGTAGGAGAACCTTACTGACGTAATAAACTGGAATATGCGTTCCCCTATGTTCCTGCACCAATGCTGCACTCACGGTAGAGTCCCCTACGGCCAGGTAAAAATCAGAGTTTCCCCCGGGTCGGGCGTACTCAGGGTTGGAAGAGTCTTCAAATGTTCCTTGAGTTCGATGAAGGCTTTTTGGCACACCTCAGTCCAGCCAAAGGTATCAGACTTTTTGAGGACTTGGAAGAAGGGCAGGTTCTGTTCGGCCGCCTTTGACAGGAACCGTCCTAAGGCTGCGATCGAACCCGTAAGTTTCTGCACCTCTTTTACAGAACGCGGGGCCTGCATGTCCAGAATGGCTCGAATCTTCGAAGGGTCTACGTCGATTCCTCTCCGAGAAATCTAAAAACCTAAGAACTTTCCGGATCCGATGCAGAATACACACTTTTTAGGATTCAGCTTCATGTTAGACGACCTGAGGGTTTGGAAGGTCTCTCGGAGATCTTCAACCACGAGGTCCGTCCTACGGCTTTTCACAACCATGTCATCCACGTAAACTTCTATGTTCCGCCCCAGCTGGCCTCCGAAGATACGATTGGCCATCCGTTGGTAGGTGGCTCCCGCATTCTTGAGTCCGAATGGCATCTTGACATAACTGAACATCCCTTCTCAGTGACGAAGGCGGTCTTCTCAGCATCATCCTCGTGCATTAGGATTTGGTGGTACCCTTTATACGCATCCAGAAAGCTAAGTATTGGGTACCCTGAGATAGCGTCGACCTTCTGTTCAATGGCAGGAAGGGGATAGCAGTCCTTAGGGCAGTGTTTATTGAGATCCTTGTAATCCACACACATACGCCAGGAAGAGTCGGGTTTTTTGACCATAACGGGATTAGCCAGCCATGTAGGGTAACATATCTCCTTGAGGATGGATGCGGCTAAGAGCTTGGTAACTTTCGCATCGATGGCAGCGTTGCGTTCGGGGGCCATCTTCCGTCTCTTCTGCTGTATGGGTCGGGCCCGAGGGTCGACGTTGAGTTTGTGCACGCCCAACTCGGGGGGAATCCCCGTCATGTCGCTGGGTCTCCAAGCGAAAACATCTTCGAACTGTTTCAACAATTCTATCACCAGGTCCCGAAGACTAGGGGGCAAAGCCACCCCAAGGCTAATGACCCTTCCTTCCACGAAAGGATTCAAAGGGACGTCGGTGACTTCTTCATCCACGAGACCAGGGTCGTCGGTAACGGGGTCCTCTTCTTCAATGGTCGGGGCCTTCTGGATGGACCTGACGGTCGCCTTTTCCTGGAGAAAGTCACGCCCCTTCTTGGCGGCGATGACCATACATTGCCGGGCTAACTGCTGGTCTCCCCGAACTTCCGCAATCCCTGCCTCGGTCGTAAACTTCATGACCAGATGGTATGGTGAATAAACAGCCTTCGCTTTAGGCATCCAGGGTCTCCCAAGAATGATATTAAAAGGGGCCACGACGTCCACTACCGCGAAGTCGACTAAGATCACACGATCCTTGGGATAGGTCCCTACGGTGACGGCCAGACTGATGATGCCTATAGGCATTATTGTGTGGTTGGAAAAACCAACCAGTGGTATGGATGCGGGGCGGAGCAGACTTTTATCGAGGCCCAATTTTTGAAAACAATCAATGTATATGATGTCCACCGCACTGCCATTATCCACGTACACCCGCCGAACTTCCCTGTTGGCGACTATAGCTGTGATGACAAGCGCGTCGGAATAATCTTCAAAGCCGCCCACCAAGTCCTGTTCCGAGAAAGATATCACCTCCCCGGGACGAAGGCGTTTAGCTTCGGACTCCCCCGGCGGTCGGGAACGTGAATTCCTGCGGAGCGCGGCCACACTCTGAACCCCCAGAGGTGCGCCAAAGATAGCGCCTACGGGGGCGGCCAAGATCTGCCGAGCCTGTGCCGGATCAACACCATCCTGAGCCTTAGGCCCGTCCCCGGTGGGGGTTCGGTCGATGGCCTTAGCTTTGTTCCTCTTCCACTTCCGGTTCTTGGGCCGGCCTGACGCTTTCTCTTGAGACCCCTTCTGGACACAGTCCTAGAACTTGCCCGCCTTGAGGCCCTCCTCGATCTCCTTCTTTAGCCTATGGCAATCCTCAGTATCGTGCCCTTTGCTCCAGTGAAAGTCGCACCACTCGGACGAGGATTCATCTTGAGACCTGCCCGGAGGTGGAAGCTTGAACTCGCTCTTGTGAATTTGGAGGATTTCCTTCCTGGTTTTAGTGAGGATAGGGACCTTGGACTCGAACTTCGGAGATCCAATGCTGAGTTTCTTCGCCTCTGGCTTCTTCTTCTCGCCTTCGGCGAAGGCCTCCCTAGCCCTCTTCATGGACTCAGCTGTCCGGATCTCCTTTTCTACTACTTCCCATAGCCTTTGGGTGGTGGCGGGAGGCTTTGCCGTGAGCTTGCTCGGCAAAGCGGGGCCCGCGCCAAAGGGGGAGAGGCCATTCATGAACTCGACCCGTACTACCAGATCATCGACCTGGTCTATCATCATGAGTTCCTTCGTGAATCTCTCGTAGTACTCCCCCAGGGACTCATTCCGGCGCTGACGGACCGAAGACAAGTCGTGAATGGTGCGCTTGGCCCTCTTGCTGGAAAAGAACCGCACGTGGAGCTTTCGTCCCAAGTCCGCATAAGAAGTGACACTGCCTGGGGGCAGGCTATCAAACCATATTTTGGCAGCACCCGTTAAGAAAGTGGGCAACGCCTTGGCGGAGAACTCCCGGGGAGAGTCCCGCAAGTCCATGGCAGCAGTGTAATCGGCCAGGAAGCTGACTGGACAGGTATCCCCTCCGTACTTCGGGATATCCGTGGGGAGCTTCAAGTTAGCCGGCCGCGGGCAACATCGGATGTGTTCGGTAAAAGGGCTTCCGAGCGCTTCTCTACCATTGAGTATGGCCTCGAGTCGGGGATCCGACACACCCTCGCGGTCCATTCTCGGCTCAGGTCTAGTGGGGGTAGGGTCGCGCTCTTGAGACTGATGTCGATCCCGAGGAATTCTTCTTTCCCCTATGAACATGAGACTGTCATCCGGGCCCTTGCCTTTGCCTTCGTAGTACATGTCTTCGAATTTTTTGAACTGCTCCTCGAACCCTGGGAATCTCCCGACAAAGGATCTCTAGAAGCGGTCATCATGTGGTCCCCGCTCGGGAGAACGGGATGGGCGAAGACGCTTGGAGGTTTCTCTGCCGCTCCCTGCCTCCTTGCTGGTCCGGTGGGACCGACTCCTGCGATGCTCGGCTGATTCATGGTCTTGACCGCCCCTGTGATCGTCAGACCTCCGGGAGCGACCCTGGCAGTCGTTGGTACGATCGCTGGTGCGGGAAGCTTCTTCGGCGTCCCCCTTGTCCCCGCGTTCATCGCGGGATCGGGCGGATATGCGGGAACTTCCTCCTACAACTTTCGATCTTAGTCCCGGCCTGCGACTTGTCCCTTCATCGGGTCTTGTCCGGGTGGAGACCATTGCTCGTAGCACGACTGGATTTGCCCTCGGCCAACCGGAAAAGAGAGGACCTTTCCCACAGACGGCGCCACTTGTCGAGGGTAAATCCCGGAAACGGAGCCCACGGTCCGACCCAGACTGGAACCTGCAAAAACGAGGTTAGCACTCCGAAGGTCAAGTCAGTCCTAGAGAGAAGTAATTTATTACCACACTTAGAGAGAGAAAGCGAGAGTGTGGAAAAAATTGAAAATGCAATAAATGAATCAAGGAGTATTTATAGGTCCCCAATGGGACAATACCTGTGGACCCCTTTGTCAAAAGGGGCAAAAGTGTAAATAGATATGTGTTTAATTCTTTTGGACCGGTTGGGCCCAAAAGAATTAAACAAATAGACGAGTTGGGTTTGTGAAATCAGCCCAAGTTGGTGGGCCGATTGGGCTGGTCCGGGAAGGTCGAAAATGACCACCAACAAAAACTTTATGTAATTATTGAACAATTACCCATATTTTAATGAGAATTTTTCCCAAATGTTATGGATAAATACCCTATATTACTCAATTTATTTTAAATATGTTTTGATTTTAATCTCCTTTATTCGAAAAAACCAAATTTGAATATTTCCAACCATTCAAACACAATTAATAACATACTCAAATTAAATTAAAGAGACTGATATGATAATCGTTACCAATGTAAGTCCCAATTTTGTTGCCATTTTCAATCACTACTGGAAAAAAAAAATATCTTAAACTGTATTACCTACAACAAAAACTCTTTTAATCTCACGTAATGTATCAAGTGACTTTTATTAGTTTTATTTTATCAATTTTGTTCGACTTTTTTTACTGGTACTAACTTGCGACTAGAAAAAAAATTTATTTAACAGAGTTAAATAATTTATAGAGTATTAATTTAGAGTCTATATATATATATATATATATTATTTTTCATCTATCACACTTCTCTTTACTCAAATTTTAACATAATATTTCACAAGATTTATACACATCTGACATATATTTTTATACCCCCTCTATCTCCAAAAAAAAAAAAAAAAATTTAGTCCCATTAAGTTTTAACATTGGTATTAGAATATTTTTCTAAGACGAGGGGAGTATTTAATAAATAATTTCAAAAATATTGTAATACATCGCTCACATCGTGCGGGTTTAACAACTAATTATAACATATTATAATAAATCTATTAGATAGACCTTGCTATAAACATTGATTTTTTTTTATCTCCCAGTGTAATAGAATGAAAATTTCAAGCAAAAACTACCGCACTACGACACCCACAAACCACGAATGCTACAGTAAAAAAACTCTATCCTTTCTATGCGTGCGTACCCGTGTTTTTGGATTTTTTTAAATTATTTGTTTGTAATTAATAAATTTAAATTCAACAACTATAAAAATGGGCTTGTATCGCACATTGAGCGATGAGACAACACTAGAATGTGGGTGTGTATATCCTTGCGTGAAGAACGGTCGATTTTTCTAACTTTTTTGCATCATATGTAGTCCTGAAAATTGTACAATATGCGGTTTCTTAGTTTAAGGTACCAACGCATTAACACGCGGAGAGATTTAAAGTGTTGATGTTAACCGATATATTTTGGTTTAAATTATACAACATACTATAATATATTTACAATTTACCCACAAAAAATTTCTTATCATTATTGCAAATAAACCTAAAATGAAGAGGTTTTTTTTTTATTTTTATTAACTTAAATTGGCCAAAATATTAGCCTAAATAACCCAATTTGAAATCATTTTTCTCAAATGATTTTTTACCTCCTCTGGTTGTTTATCAGTAGTCCTGTCTGAACCGTCACCCAGAATGCAAATCGGTAAAAAACAGTTACAATTATGACCATAAATGTCCTTCCTGTTTTTTCAAATTTAATCTTTTTTGTTATTATTTTTTCTCTTGGTGCCTTTTTTGCTAAATAAACGATCTGTACACACAAAAACCAACAAAAAGGGGTTTCTTTTTTTTTTTTCAGTTGTTAGTTCAAAATTTTTGTTCAGCAATCACTGTGGCCGTAGCTCTCATCCACTTTGCTAAAATGATTTTTGTTGTTGTTGTTGTAAATTCTAAGAGTAAATAAGTAGCTAAAAAAAATGCAAAAATTGAACTCTAAATACATTAAAAAAAAGGATAAAATAAAAGACCAATATAAGGATCATTGTCACAAGCAACTCTTTTTCATTTTTACGGATAGGCAAATTTTTAGTATTTTTAATATCATATATATGTATATATTTTTTTGAGAAAAATTCTATCACTAAAAAAATTATTTATTAGAATTTTAACTCCAAAATTATTTATATACAGTAGGCGGAGTTAAAAAAAAGTTCCAAAATTATAAAACCTTAAGTTCACTGAGTATAAACTTTCGGATTTGTAATTATCGATCCAAAATATGAATGAGGAGAAAGGTTAACTTTTTTTAAAAAAAAAAAATTTTCAAAAGGCCTATTTTTCGAGACTCGCTTTAGGCCCCCTGACCTTAAGCCGCTACTGCGGATAGGTGGATGCCTATTTTGCATTTTTTTTAAAAAGTAAGTTTTAAACACTGCCTTTAATACATTTATGTTTTAAATTAATAAAATTAGGGATATCGGCTAAGTACCTTTCTGAATTTCTCTTAAAATAAAATTAAAAAAAAAGTGGATGTCTATTGTTAAAAGTTAGGCAAGGAATTAAATTCTAATTTGTGTTATTTAATCAAATAGTTTGTTACATTAGGTTGTCTTAGACAGAAACTCTAAAACGAAAACCTCCACAGGCCACAGCAATAGAAAGAAAAAAAGGATTGAAATAGGGCACTGTGATAAAGGAACGTCCCAGACAACTAAAAACAAAAAGAAAGAACCATAGTGAACTTCTAGATCTTTTTCTCTCTCTAAACAAGAAGCCTTCTCTGACTTCTCTCTAAGATTTCTCTAAGTCCCCCCCAGCCATGACGGATCGGCCTCATGGCCATGACCTGGGTGAGCCAAAAGAGCCCCCACCTACGGACATGTACCAAATCTAGCAAACCAAACGACATCCCCACTAGATGACCGGTCACTGGAAAAACCCCCTCACAAGGAAGGCGAGACGGCACCCAATGAAACTACAGAGGAACCATCCCTTAAACAGGGGAGGGAACACAGCCAACCATAGCCTATACCAACGCAGGAGAAACCTGCCCCCCCACCCCATGAATTTCAGAGACAAATTCTTTGGAGGCAAGCGGCCAGTCATCAGGGACTTATTGGGAGAGGAAGAGGTAATACCAAATCTAGAAGAGGACGTTATTCTGGTAAGGGACGGTCCGATTCCAAGAGTCATAGTACACGACAGACTTGAGGACAAGCTGAAGGAACCATGGAAGAAATTAGTAGTTGTGAAGCTGATGGGTCAATCTATTACCCTCCTGTAATTACAATACCTGCTGGAGCGGATGTGGCAGAATACAGAGGGGTTTGTCGTGGCAGACATGGAACGGGAATATTTCTCAGTGACATTTGGGAATCTGGTGGATGTGGAGATGGTATTAAACAAGGGCCCCTGGCTCATGTGGGAATCATATCTACACACCCAAATCTGGACCAACACCTTTGATGCTAGGGTGGCGAAGGTTAGATCCTTAGCAGTGTGGATTCAGCTACCAGGATGGCCAATGCATCATTACAACAACTCGTTCTTGCGTAGGGTGGGGCAGTTGATTGGAAGGGTTATCCATGTGGATCACCAAACCGATGCAAAGACAAGGGGGAAGTTTGCACGATTGGCGGTGAAAATCGACCTGACGAAGCCCTTGTGTTTACAGTTTGAGATAACGGGAAGGACGCAACAAGTTTAGCACGAAAACCTTAGTTGTATTTGCAAGACGTGTGGGAGAGTGGGACACTTTGTGCAAAACTATAGCTTTGTGATTACTCCGGCAACGTCGGAACCTGGTACTAAGGTTCCAGAAATCCTAGCCAGAAATAATGGAGGAGGCGCCATAGAAGAGATAGTCGAAAAGATGGGGCCGGCGTTTGGGGAGTGGACGTTTGTTACCAAATGGAGTAAACCTAGGGGTTCGTTTCACAGTTCTTAGGGGGGGGATATGCTGTCGGAATGAAAGACCACGGATCCCGCTTCTCCATGCTTAGAGAGTTTACCGAGGAGTGCCACAAATCTCCAGAACAACCTCAAAAGCATCAGAGACCAGAGATGACGGAGGGGAGTTGGTGTAATGCTGCTGCCATGTCAGGATCCAACTTGGGACAAAAGAGGAGTAGAACTAGAGACCGGGCAATACCCAGAACCGATTGGAGGGATATCATTTCGGTGGGCCTAGAGCGGGGGACCATCAACAAGGAGCCCAAATTGAAGGGCAAGGTAGTGGAAGCGGAACAGAAGCGACAGAACAGAAGCGAAGTGATGTTGGGCCCAAAACCCAGGCCAAAGGTCGAGCGACAGGAGAAAACCTAAATAGTGGGGAAATGCCAAGCAGTGGCTCTGTTACCCATCGCAGCTTACAAATAGAACCAAAGACCATAAGAGAAACGGGTCAACAAGTTCAAATCCCCAACCAAAGACAAACAATAGAAACATTTCCAAATGCAATTCCGGTCTCGTCGTCTCTACATCCGGAGAAACACATAGCTGTCATGGTAAAGGCGACAACGAAGAAGAGTTCGGCGATGGAAATCAGTGTCGGATGTGACGAATTGGAGGAAAGACTGAAGGAAAGGGGAGATGATGGTGCGGGTCTTATGGACGATCCAGGGGACATGAAGTGGACGTCCATTGCCGACACCACCGTGAACCGGAGGACAATCGAATGGATGAGGATGGGTTGCAATGGGGAACCACCCTCTGGAATAAGTAGCCAGTAAAAGGTTAGTGCCAATTGTGTATATAGTTATTATGAATTGTAAAATTATGTGTTGGAATGTCAGAGGGGCGGGATCGATCCCCTTTCGACAAGCTTTTGAAGATATGATGCATATGTATAAACCTGCAGTAGTTGCTCCACTAGAACCATGAATAAGTGGGCGGAATGCAGATTATTTTGTCAGACGGAGTAGTTTGGACAAATCCTTTAGAGTTGAGGTGGTGGGATTTGCCGGCGGCATTTGGGTCCTTTGGAAGGAGTCGGTGCAGGTAGAGGTCTTAGCGTGTCACAGACAATATGTTCACACATGCATCACTACACGGGGGGATGTACTTTTGTAACTTTTATATATGCCAGTCCGGTACCGGGTTTGAGAAGAGAAGTCTGGGGGAGGGGCGTTGAATAGCATAGCTAGGGGAATCGATGGGGCTTGGCTGGTGGGGGGGCGATTTTAACTCCATTTGGATGAATCCGAGTGTAAGGGAAGTAGGGCTCGTAGGAAAGCCTGTTGTTCCTCTTTTTCAGAATGGATTTTTGCTAACAACCTGCAAGAGGTGTGAACGGATAGAACGAGGTTTACCTGGAAAAGTGGCAAGTTGCAGAAGAGGCTGGACCGATTCTTATGCAATGAAAGATGGCAAGAAATGTTTGCTGATGAGGTTTGTACACACCCTCCAAAACGACAATCCGATCATAACCCTTTGCTTGTGTCCTTGGGGATCCCTCAGGTGGGGCCATCTAAGAGTCGGGGGTTTCATTTTCTTGCTACTTGGACACTTCATGAGGATTTCCCCCGGTTTCTGGAAAATGAATGGGACCAGAATGCCAATTTTTGTGTGGCGGCTGCAAAGTTTGCCTCTACAGCACAAGTATGGAACAAAGAAGTATTTGGCAACATCTTTAATAGAAAAAGGAGAGTGGTGGCAAGGTTGGCTGGCATCCAAAGGGCAAGGGAATCAAGGGATTCTCCCTGGTTGGATAACCTGGAGATAGAAATTCAAAGTGAGCTAGAGCTATTGCTGGTCCAAGAGGAGTCTTTGTGGATTCAAAAATCCACAAGGCAATGGAATACAGAAGGAGATCGCAATACCAAATTTTACCACAGTTATGTTAAACGGAGGGAAAGGAGGAATCGGAATGTTGCATTAAAAGGGGGTGATGGACTATGGGTAGAAGATCAAGACAGACTGAGAGCAATGGCAACCCATTTTTTCAGAGAATTGTATGCATCGGACCTGGGGACTTATGTTGAATACTCTGTGGAGAGCCGCTTCTAGAAGAGAGTCTTCATATTCTAGGGTTTATGAAGAACGGAGAGAATGAATTTGGGAATTTTTCATTGTATTTCCAGATTTGTATGAATGTGTATATATTCTTCTCAGCCACCGTATTTGTACACATATATATACAATAATAGCTAATGATTAGATGTATTTAATATGTCCTATAACTTTCCTAAGTAAAAGGTGTATATAACCCTCCACTTAACTTACACATCTATATACATCAGAAGGGCAAAACGGTACAAATATCAAAGCTGTACAGAAACTGAGTCGGTTGACTGAAAACCTTCAACTACCGTCATCCTGGATCTATTTTTACTGATTCTTCATCCCCTCTGCAAGCTGAAAAGTGAAGTTTCTTCACTCCAAGCTTGGACAGTAAATCTGAAAACTTTGGAAAAGCCAGGGACTTTGTGAACAAGTCCGCTATTTGCTCATGAGTAGAAATATGTAAAGGCACAAGAAAACCTTTAAGATATTGCTCCCGGACAAAATGACAATCAATGTCAAGATGTTTGGTGTGCTCATGGAAAACCGGGTTCTCCGTGATGTTGATAGTAGGCTAATTATCACACCATAACCGGATAGGAAAATGAAGAGAAACTCTGAAATCATGAAGCAGGTAGGAAATCCACAACAGCTCCTTGCTAGTAATGCTGAGACTCTTGTATTCTGCCTCAGCTGAAGAGCAGGATATAGTAGTTTGCTGTTTAGATTTCTAGGAAATCAATGCTGAACCAAGGAAGATACAATATCCTGTGAGAGACCTCCTGTGAACTGGATTAGTTTCCCAATCTGAGTCTGCATACACCTGAAGTTTCAGATCAGAATGAGACGAATAGAACAACCCAGTGGTAGAAGTGCCTTTTAGGTATTTCAAGGTATGAAGAAGTGCATTCCAATGTGCCATACATGGAGCATGAACATGTTTACTAAGTTGCTACACAGCATATGAGAGATCAGGTCTAGTAAAATTCAAGTAGAGTAGCTTGCCTACCAATTTTCTGTAAAGGGAAGCATCAGCAATTGGAGGACCACAATCTTCTCCAAATTGATGACCTTTTTGTAGTGGTGTAGCTGTCGGTTTGCAACCACTCAAACTTGTCTCTTTCAAGATATCCAGAATATATTACCTTTGATTAAGGTGCATACCTTCTGGAGATCTAGCAATCTCAATGCCAAGGAAATACTTGGAATATCCCAAATCCTTGATGGTAAACATCTGATGAAGATATTTCTTAACCTGGATGATGGCAGCTTCATTGGATCCTATGATAAGAATATCATCCACATACACAAGAAGAGCCATAAACTGAGTTTCTGTCTGCATGATAAACAGGCAAGAATCATGCATAGACTGTGTAAAGCCATAAGACTGAATTCTAGAGGTGAATTCAGCATTCCATTGTCTAGAAGCCTGCTTCAATCCATATAAAGACTTCTTCAATCTACAAACTTGTCCAGGTTGAGCTAAAGTATAACCAGCAGGTGGTACCATGTAAACTTCTTCCTCCAAATTTCCATGAATGAATGCATTATTGATGTCAACTGATGAAGTGACCACTGATTTGCAGCAGTTAGAGCTAACAGAATCCTGACAGTAACTATCTTTGCTACAGGAGAGAAACTGTCGTAGAAATCTTCACCTTCAATCTGATTGTAACCCTTTGCTACCAATCTTGCCTTATAACATTAAACAGTCCCATCCGAGTGGTATTTAACCTTGTACACCCATTTGGAACCAATAGCTTTCTTTTCTAGAGGCAAAACTGTTAATTCCCAGGTGTGATTTTGTTCTAAAGCATTCAGTTCATTATTCATTGCTGCAAGCCATTCTGGACAGTTTTTGGCTTGTAAGTAGTTTTTAGGTTCTGGAATACTATCAATTTGGGCTAAAAAGGTCATATAATCATGTGAGAAAACTGGTTGATAGGTGTATACAGCAGGAGGATTATGATCCATACAGAAATTGGATGACTGAGAAACAGAAGTTTTTCTTTTGACATGCTGTGAGATATAATCTTTCATCCAAACTGGATGATTGATGTTTCTAGTGCTCCTTCTGAGAGATGTTGAAACTGGTAAGTTGGAGGTAGAAATGGTGGGATGTGATGTGTCAGAAGGTATGGTGTGTGAAGAAGAATTAGGAGTAGGCAAATTTATGGTTTGATCAGAATGATCAAAATCATCATAATGATCAGAATGTAGACTTGGAGTTGATTGCGTATCAGGCCAAGATTCATCAATGAGAAAAGGAGGTGAAACAAAGGATCTTGATGGTGATGGATCAGCCTTGGAAGGGAAAAGAGTTTCATGGAAAACCACATCCCTGAAATAATCACTTTACGGGTAGCAAGGTCCAAAAGTTTGTAGGCCTTCTGACCCGGAGGATAGCCTATGAAGACACACCTGATTGCCCTAGGATCAAACTTGGCTTTATGTGGAAGTGTATTTGTTGCATAACATAAAAAACCAAAAGTTCTCAAATGAGTATAGTCTGGTGGTTTAGAAAACAAAACTTCATAAGGTGTTCTACCCTTAAGAACTATGGATGGCAACCTGTTAATCAGATATGTGGCTGTTAAGATGGAATCCCCCCAGAAAAGTTTAGGTAAACATGATTGGAAGAGAAGTGCTCTAGCTACTTAGAGTATGTGTTTGTGTTTGCATTCTACAACACCATTTTGGTGTGGTGTCAAAACACAAGATTTTTGGTGGATAATGCCTAAATCTGTGAATAGATTCTGGTAATCTTGGCTAAGAAATTCTAATCCATTGTCACTTCTGATGGTTTTTATGAACTTTTGGAACTGGTTTTGTATGAGTTTGAAAAAGGTTTTGATGACAGTGTAAACCTGTGACTTATCCCTCATAAGAATAGTCCAGGTTGCTCTACTGAACTCGTCTACTATGGTAAGGAAATACTGAGCACCACAGAAAGATTTTTGTTCAAAAGGACCACAAATGTCAATATGAATGAGCTCAAAAATGTCATGAGTATGAATGACACTTGTAGGAAATGGTAAACGGTGTTGTTTTGCCAAAGGGCAAACTTCACACACAGTATCATTAGTATCAGTAGGATTATACAGAGAGAGCATTCTTACAATCTTCTCAGACGGGTGGCCAAGTCTACTATGCCAAATGGCATTATTTGGACTATTTACATGATTAGAAGAATGGTAAGAAACAGTTTTCACTGTTGATACAAAAGGATGATTAACATGGTCCTTAATGGAGTCTAAGATTCTCTCCTTGGAAAACGATTGATGGTCAATGACATAGAGTTTGTTCACCACCCTTCCAACAGCCACCAATTGCCTAGTCACTTGGTCCTGTAATAGGCAAAAGGTAGTTGAGAAGAAGCAATCAATCTTAGATGATGATGCTAACTTTCTCACAGATATAAGGTTGTGTTTAAAAGACGGGATATGTAAACAGTCATGTAATGTAATATCTATTCCTAGGTTCACTTGCCCTATATTTTCAACTTGTGTAACACTGCCATCAGGTAAGTATACTGGTGTGAAGGTTGTCATTGGTTTAAAAAAGGAAAAGAGCTGAAGATCTGAGGTCATATGTCTTATAGCACCTGAATTTATTATCCAGCATAGAAGCAACAAATAGTCTAATGAGCTTAATGCCTTAAAAGTAGTCATACCTACAAATTCAGTTAAATGTGCAAAGTTGATATGATCACCATCCTGTGCCTGTCCCT